CCGTCACGGAGCGCTCATGGCGGCCGCGCTGCCCGGGGCGGGGGGCGCGGAGGCCGCCCGGCCTGCGGGGAGACGAGAGCCGGGCCCGGCGGTGGGCATCTCCGGCTCCCCGTCCGCCTCTCAGGGCCTCGCCGCGCCTGAGCGCGCTGCCGGGCGGTTTGGCAAACCCGGGGAGGCCGGCGCGCCTTCCTCGGGAGGGGGACTGCTTCCTGCCGGCCCCCTGCGGGGGAAGGGGCCGGTCACCCCCCCGGTCCCCGTGCGGGCGTGCTGCCGAACGCCGCGCTGAGGGGGGGAGCGGAGCGGGGCGGAGCGAGGACCGAGGCCTACCCACAGCTAGCGCTCCTCCGTGTCAGGGCCGAGAAACGTTCAGCGCCGGGTCGAGAGCGTGGGTCCTGAAATTACTCTGTGTTACCTTAAACAAAACCCGCAGAACAGTGATCATCGGATGCTGGGTTGGTGCAAAAGCTTAGCCACGGGTTGTGTTCACCTAGGAGTAGTGTCGGTCCGTTCTCGGTTTGGAGCTGCAGGTAGGCTGGAGTTCGGCTTTCTCCCCCAAAGCGGAGTCTGCAGTGCTACAGCTCCTGCGTTTTTCGGGTCACGCTGTCTGGATCGCTGTGGTGCTAATTCCTGCGGTAGGGATGGCGTAGTTTTGACAGCAGCATTTTTGGTTGCACAGAAAGAAAGTTCAGCAAAATTAAAAGTTCCTGAATGCTGGACATGTCACGTTATCGAAGATGGAGCAATTTCTCTGGAACATACACCTACCCGCCATACACAGTTATACACAAAAATGGTAAAGTGCCATTTTTAAAGCTTTTGTCGTTATCAGCTTGTCAGAACTAAGTAAGAGCAATTATCCAAGGAATACACATTTTGTACCAATCACGCACATACAGAATCTTGGCTCTTTCATGCCTGCATATGGCCAGGACTACACAGAGTGTCAAATTCGTACCATTAATGCAGATTTTTACCTGCAGCATAATTGCTTTAACACGAGGCGTTATTTGCAGGCATAAAACTTCTTCTTTTTCATTTTAGTGAAAGCTGGATTTCTGTATTGACTAATAGTTCGTAACACGGTTTAGTTTCAGCTGTTTTGCATTTCTCACAAATTGTTTTCTCTTGTTTTGGTAATATGATTTGACAAACAGGTTTATTACATTCATTCTACATACCTTTAGTGATATTTTAAAACAATATTACTAATGCTTAATTTGTAAATCATGTTGCCCTCTGTGTAATTCAGTCATAAAAAAAAAAAAAGAAGCACGTATGTAGGTTACATAAAATCTCAAAACTCTGATTGAAATAAATGCCCGCCCAGATAAGGAATTTTAATTTAAAAACTGTGTTTCTGTTAATATAATTCAAATTAATCAAGCTTTTCAAACACAATAATCTCTAAAGGAAAAAAAATTAAGTTAACATAGTAACTGTTCTAAGATTTTCTTGATCAACTGAGTTCTCAGCCTTGTGGGAGTATTGTGTACTTGAAAAAAGGGTTGAGTAACCCATCACACAAGATGAAGTTACTTCATTTATAATTAGGTGTGAGGTATAGATGTGTCTGTCATTTCAGATAGTCTGAAAATAATAGAGAAATATTTAAGGTATGACAAAAAAATTTAATCTGTGAAGAGTACAAGAAATTCAGTTTTATATCAAATTTCAGACTCTTATACTTGTTAAGTTGCAGCAGAATGCAGAACCACTTTACAGTTCAGTGAATAAATTTACGTTTGAATCTATAGTGCCGATTGCCTGTTTCACAGCAGAAGGCAGTGGTTTAACACTGCTGCACCTCAAATAGGAATGCAAATGTTGATTTCTATAAAAAAAAAAAAAACAGAAGGAAAATAATCTTTCTGTAATAATGGAAGACAAAAAGCCAAACCAGGATTTTTTTTTCCAATAATGATGTTGGCTTATCATAGTTGAGTTTTTAAGCAATATAATGCCTTGAATTTTGTGGTTTTGTAAGGAATGCAGAAAGTGCTCTCTTGCTTGTTATTTCCACAGCCTACCATGCTAGCAGGGAATAGTTCATTTCATAGATAATTGGTGTTTTAAGCTCCAGGTTAAAATAAAGGAAGTTCCACAACTGGGGAACCTGTGGGGGTGGAGACAACCCGCAGGAGACGTATGGAGGAAGGCTGGGGGTGGACAGCATTGGCCAGGGACAGGAGGCCACAGGAGGCTTGCTCACTTGCCCTGAGAAGGGGGTGTGATGCTGTGTGAACACATGTGACCTGGGAAAGAAACTGGAGGAATTGGATGTATCAGCACAGTTGCAGAGCTGTGACCTCTTTGGGATCATGGGAACAGAGTAGCATAGCTCATGATGAGCGCTGTGATGGAAGGATACAAACTCTCTTAGAAAAGCAGGCAGGGAATTGAGTGGAAGTTGTATTCCACACAAACAGGTATCTGTTTGCCTGGAGCTTTCCTCCACTTTGGAGTGAGCAAGGAGCCAACTGAGATCTGAAGGGTCGGGAACGGTGGGGAGACCAGCATGGGTGACATTGTGGGGGCATCTGCTATAAATTGCCTGGTCAGGAAGAGGAAGTAGATGAAGCCTTAAATAACTAAAAGAGTTTGTGATTGTAGGCCCAGGCTTCTTTCAGAATGTAAAATTGCTCTGACATCTGGAGGAGCCACCTGGTGGGGTGAAAGCAGTCTAACTAATTTTTGTGGGGCATCAAGAACATTTTTTTTTGACCCAGATGCTGGATTTGTTACTCAGAAACAAGGAGGAACTAGAAGGCAATGTACAGGTCAAGGGCAGCCTTGGCAGCAGTGACTACAGGATCTTAGAGTTAAGATCCCAAGAGAAGTAAGGAAGGCAAATAGCAGAATAAAGAATCTGTGCTTCAGGAGGATAGAATTGGGCTTGTTCAGGAAACCTGCCTGTCAGTATCCCTCAGGAAATTGCTGTGAGGGGTGACCATGCTTTTAGCACAAAACCAGTCTTCCCAGTGAGCTGAAACCTGAGCAAGCATGGCAGAAGAAGAGCTTGGCCAAATGGGCAGTGCTTGCCTGAACTCGGACACCAAAAGGGAGGGTTTGGAAGATGGAAGCAGGGATGAGCTACCCAGGCAATACAAAAGGATTGCCCAGGCATGTGGGGATGGAGTTCAGAGACCAGAGCTCAGCTGGAGTTGAAATTGGCAAAGGATGTGAACAACACCAAGAAGTGTGTCCACAATTACTTTGGCAACAAAAGAAAGATGAAGGAAAATGTGGGCACACGCTTTGACAAGGTAGAGGACGTATTTAAGAATGGCATGGCAAAAGCCAAGTTGTTCAGTGCCATTTTTTGTGTCAGTTTTTACTAGCAAGGTATGCTCACAAGCCTCTCGGGTTCCCTGAGCCTAGTGGCACAGTCAGAGGCAGTGAAATATTAACCACAATGGAGGACAGAGTTGGGGACCGCAGAAGCAAACTGTACAAAGGCTGATCCATGGGACCAGATGGGATGCATCTAGGGGTGCTGAAGGAGCTGGTTGACATTATTGCAAGGCCACTGACTATTTTTCATCTTTGGTAGGTTGTGGTTATCAGAGGAGATTTCCAGATGACTGGAAAAATGCAAATGTCAAATCTTCTTGCAGGAAGGAGGATCCAGAGCATGACAGGCTGGTCAACCTGACCTTAGTTTCTAGGAAAATTGTGGAGAAAATCCTCCCTAATGGCCTCTTCTGGCTGTTTCCAGGTGTGTGAAAGACAAGGTGGTCACTGGGAACAGCCAGTTTGATTTACCAAGGGCAAATTCTATGCCTCAGTCACCCTGAGTGCTTTCTCTGAGAGAGCTGGCTTGGTGGATGAGGGAAGAGCAGTGGATGTCATTTACCTTGACTTTAGGCAAGGCCTTTAAGATGGTCTCACTTAGGATCCCTGTAGTGAAGGTGGGGAGGCACAGGCTGGATGGGAAGACCACAAGGTTGGTGGAAAACTGAGCAGCTGGGCTCAGAGAATAGTTGTTAGCAGACTGACATCCAGTGGGTGGCCAAATTATGGGTGGTGTTTCTCAGGGGCTGTTACTGGGGCCAATACTATTTTAAGTTTTGCATTAACAACCTGGCCAAGGGGTGGAGTGTGTTCTCAGCAGGTCTGTGGATAGTACCACCTTGCTGGCAGCCTTAAGCACGCTTGGCAGTTGAACTGCCACTTGGAGGGATCTTTGCAGGCTGAAAAGATGGACTGACAGAAAACTGATGAAGTGTAATAAAAATTAAAGCCGCCTGTGACAGAGTAACCCCATGCATCAGTAAAGACTGGGGGCCAACAGGACCGAAAGCTATTTTAAGGAAAAGGACATGGGGGTTCTAAGGGACAACAAGTTGAATGTGAGTCAGCGTTGTGGTCTGCCAGCAAGATGGGCAACTTCATCTTGGGCTGTGTTAGCAAGAGGGTAGCCTGCAGGTTTATGGAAGTGGTCTTTCCTCTCTAACACTTGTGAGAGCACACGTGGAGTACTGCTGAACACTGGAACAGGGGCCAGAGAGGCTCTGGAATCTCCATCTCTGGAGATTTTCACAACTCAGCAGGACCAGGTCCTGAGCAACCTGATGTAACATTAATGTTGGCCTTACTTTGAGCAGGGGATTGGCCTAGAGGCCTCCAGAGGTCCCTTCTGGCCAATATAACTTATTTAACGTACTTTAGTCCTTATGCAAGCTGCATATTTGAGGCCTCATTCTACCACTGGAGGCATCAAGGTAAAAGCAAGGTAAAAATTATCAAGACTTTAAAAAAAAAGGATGACTGTGATTCTAGCTACTCTTTGTATTTGGCTGTATTTGCTGAACGCTTTTGTAATGCCCAAGGACTGGGAGTTTTACTATTGACTTGAGTGGTAAGACTGATGCAGAGCTGTCACAAAAGC